ATGTTCCCACAAACTGTATTAAAGCTGTTGCAAAACACTTGTTCAGGTCTACGGCTCCCAAACTGATACTGCGTACAGTGTCAAGGACACTTTGTTCAATGTTAATAAAACTTTTGTTCCACCCTTCATTTGACTGAACCTAATTCCTGAAGTTGAACAGAAGGTACATTATAAAATAAAGACTTGCCTGGCTCTTTGGCTGACTTGTCCCCTATTTAGGAAAATAAAATACTCAAATTACTAGTTGTCAATATAACAAATAATCATAAATCAGTTGTGAGCACTTTTGGTTAAATGTCACTGCAGAACGTTTGGGTTTTAAATATAGTGAAAATATAGCTGGAACTATCAGGTTTACATTACAGAAAAGTCATCTTAGCCATATTCTCTATTGATTATTTAATAAAGAAAGCAATTAATATTGAGAAACCTGCAGATGTTCCTCAGGTTCAGACTGAACAGTGGCTGAAGACGTAGGTTGTTTATTGGACATAGCTGCAGCGATGGGAAACCTACTCTTCAAAGCCTGCGAGGCTGCAACAGGTCATCACAACAAAACATGGAAACACACAGGCAATAAATGCTTTAGGGTAGTGAAAGTGTGTGGGCAGAGGGGGGGTTGGAGACAGGAAAGGAGTTGTGCAACCTTACCTAGAGTAAAGGGTTGGCTTAAAACTGCCAGGTAGTTTTTTTCATCCACATCAATAATCTGAAGGACACGATATAAACATCATATGTGTATGAAGAGTCATCCAGGTCATGGTTGAAGAGTTATGTTAGGCTGGACGTGAAATTTTCTGGTTGCCACCAGGAACAAAAAATTAAAAGTATTGAAGAATTCCAAACCTGGGCTTCTCCATGTCCTTCACAGTGTTCAAAATAAGCCACTAACTGTCTGGTTATCGTCTTCTTTTGTTTGAGCCTTTGAACAGGAACCTTTTCAGACCACTGACATTGAAGAGGTAAACAGACAGAGAAACAACTACAGCGTGAGACTACTTTGTTATGAAAACAATCTAAAATCTTCACATTGTGCAGAAAGGGAAAGACCAAGTTATAGGAAATAGTGAAGAAAGGTGCAAAGGTGACCAATGTAGATTTGTTGATGTGTAGGAGTGGGTGAGGGGAGGTGTAGAAGATTCTCCTTCTCCACATGTTTGGCATACTAAAGTGTAAAGTTTCAGTCATGTATTGTCTTGTTTTGGCAAGTTTTCAGCAATAAAGTGTTGAACAACAATATCTTGAAAATGAGTATTTATTTAATCAAGGTAAATCAGCATCTGTGAATGAACAGGGTTCGAGCGTCGAGGAGCTTGTTCTCAATGCAGTGTCTGAAGCAACTTTCAGAATCTGCAACTAGTGTTTGTTGGATAATTAGTGTGTTTTTGGGACACATCAAATAAAAAATATTTGGATCAAAAGATGAAAGTTTGCTTTGAAATAGAGATGTCCGATAATATCGGCCGACCAATGTTAGTGGACAATATTAGCCTAATTATGTAATAGCTGTAAGAATTGTTATCGGCCTCCAATAATGAAAACCTGATAACACAATGTCTGGATTAGATCCAGATGATGTGCCCTTAAAATAGTTTTTAATTGAAAGTAGAACTATTATTTGTATCATGCACAGTATTGTCATTGTGACACTGCACACGTTTTTGGACAATATCGGCAAAGTTAATATCAGACATCCCTACTTTGACAGAAGATGCCATAAAGCAAATGTGAAGAGGTTGTATATTTGGTCAGAGGTGTTTACAGTTGTAGTCCAAAATTAAAATGGGTAACTCACCGCTAAATACTTTCTCCAGTGTACAATTCCAGTAACGTGGCTGACAATGTTGCATTCAAAGATCCTCCGACAGCAGCAGTAACACAGGTAAATGGGACTGTGTTCATCAAAGTTACATTCAAGGAGAGCATGAAGGCCTAGAAAATATTGTGTGAATCAGAACCAGAGATGGACGCAAACATGTGACCACTTGTAACACCAATAACATCTTTGTTGGACTAAATGTTCTCCTTTATTTGACACTTTTTCTTCCAGGAAAACAAAAAACAAAACACTAACCGATTACAGGCTCCCGGTTCCTCTTCTTGATGTACCCCCATAGTAAGTCTGTTTTTTGGTTGTCCTCTGTCTCAGCTGTAGAAAACCACAGTCATTATTATACAACTAATCACAGTCAATGTGCATTAACTGCACTTGAATGGCAGACATAGGAAGAATTGTTTCAGATTCTGTACCTTTAATCTCTGCAGCCTCATGACTTTTCCCACTTGGAGCACTTTGGATTTTTTGGGATTCTTCATGGAACAGCTCTTTGTTGGAACTGAAACACTTTATCTTCGGTGCATGTCTTCCCCCTGTGGCCTCACTGTGGGGCGTCTCTTGTGGCTTGTCAGAGGTGCTGTTCGACATCTTTATGCGATTTCTTATGGTAACTGGACTCCTCACTTGCACGGTGCTTTCTTTAAATCTTTCAATACCTTTGAATGTAGTCAGGCAGCTTTCTCGTATTTTAGAAATGTGTTCCACTTTTGTAACCACCTCCTCGTCTTCTTCTTCTTTAATTATCCTCTCTTGTGTGTCCAACTCCATATCCTCTGTTATATTCATTTTCCTTTCCTCTAGTTCATGCTCCACCTCCTGCATTTTCCCTGTGATGTCCACTTTCTCCTCCTTAGTCTCCTCTATTTCTTCTTTTAACTCCTCAGTTTCCTCCTTTATCTTTTCTGTTCTCCATTTCATCACGTCCATCCATGTCTTCTCTGAGATCTCTAAAATCGGCTCCTTATTCTCCCTTTTTATTCTCTCCATTTCCTTCTTCGTCCCCTGCATGATGTCCTTTCCTGTATAATCTGACCTCTCTGATGTTGGCTCCATCTTCTGGCACATCTCCTCAGGTGCATCATCTCCTAGATTTGTACTTGTGCTTGATTCTGTGCCACATGGTGAGACGCCTTTCATGTTGGCCAAAGTATTAATATTGCCATCAATTTAAATACTGACAGGTGCAATTGACACCTTTCTCACACCTTATATATATATATCTATATATACACGATTTATATATAAATAACCTACTAGGTTCAAGGTTTGTGATCAAGCCACTGCCACTCTTATCCACAGGGTAAGATTCCAGTGTCTTCAAGGCTACAAAAAAAGATTGTTAAAATGTCCTTTCAGATTCTGATAAGAGAAATATATGGTAATAAAAAGGTAAATGTACCTTTACCAAATCCAGTGGAATTCAATGATGCAAACTCAACTGGATCCAGAGTCACTTGCTACAAAACCGTCACAGATGTTAATACCAGCAACTACAGTGTACAGAGTAAGTGTATAATCAACGCACTGAATGACACATCACCTGTACCTTTGTGTCTGCCACTGAATTCATTTCTCCAGCCTGTTTCACTAAATCAAGCATCATGGATGTGATGGACTCAGAGTAAAGGTAAGAATACTTTGACAGCACAATGGAGGGATGCGTTGCTTTCTGTGCAGATTGAAATACAAGTTAGTGTCAAATAGGTTCTTCACTGAACTGCATTCAAAAAAGGTGTCGTAATAACCTCAAATATTTCCTCCTGCGCTTTTTTTTCACCCCCCCCGCCTTTTCTACTCTAATGTATGTCCCTTTCCCAGAAAGAAATCCCTAACCTTGCAACGAAACATTTTACATAGTAGAACTACATGACAAGGAGATTTAAAGCTGGGTTGAATCCTACTCCACATGATGTATAATCCAACCCTAACACTTCCCCTAATGTATTTTTTCCAACCTGATTGATTTTGCTGCTTCTAATGAGGTCAATGATGTCAATTCTATTGCATGATGTCAGTGAATTTGAAATGCTACTTACAAAATAAGAATAAATATGGTCAAAGCTCAGGACGTGTTTGAGGATCATGTTGTTGCCAACCGTTAGTTTGCACAAAGTGCAAAGACAGCGTCTCTTCTCAGGTTGTCCAGCACAAATGAACTCAATAATGTGCTGCATGCCTACAGTTTATGGCCAAACAACAACATGAAAAAGATATTTGTCAAGAAAAAAAAAAGGATGCATGAAGTTATAAATCAACCTCCTGATGACAGTACTTTTTTAGATGATAGAAACTAAACTACAGCTTTTAACATGTGACTTAAAAATCAGGCAACAGTCATGTGCTATAACAAAAAAAGGTTACACTCACCCAGAAGTGGATGTTTTCTGTTCCGATCTTTTTGATACATCTGAAACGTGTTCCTCTGTGGTTTGGCCGCTGAATGAAAAAAGGGGAACTTGAGTGTCTTTATAAAACTTATTACAGTTTATGTTGATACGGGGAAATTCTTGTCTAAAAGATTATCTTGTTTCAGCAGAACTTGCTAGGGGGTTTTTAATCCAGTGTGAGCCAATAACACTTGTTGTGCTCATTCTGCCAGACTGCAGTCAGTTTTCCTTTTAGAGACTCTTTAATTATTGCAAAGAGAAATCCAAACCAGCTGCCTGCACTGATGACTGAGCTACCTGGAGTGGTAGCCCCACCTCTAAAAAACACACATTCATTTATACATGTCTACATTTTCTTTTTTTCCCTGCACTTACCTTCAAACAATTTCAGAAGCATCTGATTTTCTCCAATGATGTTCATGACTAGGATATGGAGCATATCATTTCACTCAGGAAGCTGTTTGAATAGATTCCTTCAAAATGTGCCAGTGTATCTATTCGGAACATACCTTCAGAATAAGAACAATTTTTAATACGTTGAAGCAGCTGAACAGGTAAAGTTAAAATCTACAGAGAGAGAAAGAAGAAAAATACATCATTAAAGGACAAATGTGCAAACAGTCCATCCATACATATGGCTGTAGTAGGACTATGGAGATACAACGACACAGCAGCTGATCTTACATTAACACTACTAACAGACCTATTCAACACACATGTTAATCTAGCACTCCCCATATATCTGGAATAAACAACTGGTGATTCCAGTCCTCTGGTGTACAAACCTGGAGCACTCCAGGCCCCTTTTCTTTCAACTCCCTTTTGACCTGAGGCTTTAAAATGACCTTCATATCCATGCACGGAGTCCATGAAAAAGTCAAAATATTGGGGTCTGTGTAGTTCTACAGTGGAAATATAAATTAAATTTCATTTTTTGATTGAAAAAATAAATCTGTTCAAACTGGTCCTCCCATCTTAAAGGACTCACAAAATAGTTGAAGCAGTGGTCCCCCTTGGACAGGTGTTGCATGATACTGTGTGGTCGACATGTCACCTCACACACATGGCACAGGTAGAAAGTTGTACTTTGTTCACCGTAACACAGGGTCAGCAGAGATATGCCTAAAAGAAATTTAATTGAGAATTACTCCACTCTCTATCTACAGCTAATGGAAATTTAAGACAGCAGCTGTTCAGCCTTATATACAAAAGAACAAAAGTATGTTGTCAGTTGAGATTAGAAAAAAGTTCAATAAAAACTCGATATAAAAAAAAGCAAAGAAAAATCATGTTACGAACCCACTTTAGGTTTTCTATAATCATAATGGCGAGGATCAGCAAAAACTATGTTGGGATAAAAACCTGTTAAAAAAAAAGAGGGAGAAGTGTGTCCTGGTCTGCCTCTTTTGTAGACATCTCTTTCTACAATACGGTCTATTTGGATTGTATTAGACAGCAGGGACATTTAGGTATTTTGAAGGTAACAAATGACAAGGCTTACCATAAGTCCTAGGAGTCTTTACTATAGAATTTCAAACAGAGACAAAAACTATTATTGTGAATTAAATCCTCTTTAAAATAGAAACAATCACATCTGAATTGACAGTTTGTAAAGCTGAAACATTACCTTCCCAAAACACTGACATATATTGCTGCAAGAAAAGAAAAGAAAAAAAAAACTTTACTTTAAGTGTCTTATGGTTTGAGGGGCAAATGGAAACTTACCCCACAGCTTTTCTCAGAATACAACGCAGGCCTTTAATTTGACAGAACATTTTCAACCCACCTGACAATGTGCCACTGACCAAAGATGATCATTGAAGCCATGAACCGTAGAGAAAGTTTTGCAACACAGCTAAAAGAAAAAAATGTTACTAATGCACACATTAAAATGTTTCTTAAGTAATATCGAGAAATATAAATTGTGTTTGTTGAAATTATTGGGACAGTTGCATTTTGCAAGAATACTTTTGTATCTTTTTGTACTTTTGTATGAATCTGACTGTTGCGTCTACATTCCTTTAACGTAACAAGAAAAATGTCTAGCCTTGCTCTTTCTAAAGTATTAGAGTATTACCTAAAGGACGTTTATAGCACCACCTTTAGGAGTAACAGAAGAGCTACTTATCTGATTTTACAAAAGCCAACAGCGAAAAATAACTACGGACAAAGTTAGTAAAACTGCAATACAAATATTGTGAAAAGATTGATCGCACTGTGTACATGTGTCGACTGGGTGACAGTTTATCTCGCGATAGTTTTCGGGAAGGTGTGACGCGAGATCACGTAGGCTGTGACCAATAATTGAGTGCAGCTTTTAAGCGCGTTAGCTGATTAGAATGTTCTAAAAAGTTCCACTAGCAGTTTTATTTGACCGTTATATATATATATATAAAACCGTTCAAGACCAACGTTCGAAATTTCACCTACCTGGCAGTTCAGAGTCACAGAGGCCATATTCAAGAATTATCTCAAGCAAAAAGCCACAAACCTATAAATAAAGAAAATATATTCTGAAATTAAACAAATATAAAATATATATATATATAAATATAGTCATCAGCTTGATGTCGTATAAGTGCCGATGTAAGAACGAATAATCGGTTGCGTACACAACGACTCTCACAGCCAACTTATGTCTATTAGGCTTGAGCTACGGTTCCCTCTTCTTATAGCTTTTGAGGTTTTTTTTCTGTTGAAGCCGCACGTGATTGGTCAGCGACAACATGCGTGGTTGTGTTACTGTGCCTGCGTTAAACCGGACGTTGGCAAGGGGTGAATGGATACAGAGAGATGAGCACAAGGACAAAACGCTGAAAAACACTGGATGTTGATTTTTGTTTGTTTGTCTGTTTTTACATATTTCTATATTCCTGTTCAACTTAAAGCTGTAACATCTGAAATCCTTATATGGGCATAGAACAGATTTGTTTAACTTGGGGACTTAGGTATCTCCAAATGAGGAGAAAAAGTTTATTGCAAAGTACAGCATCAAGTAAGGCAGAGCTGGATATTCAACCATAAGGTGTTTCAGTCTTCTACTGTAAGGGAGTGTAGTGCAGGCGGGCTGTCTGTCACCTCCTGGGTTGTGACCTTTTCTTTAGGAACCTTTTTCCAAGAAGACATAGTTTAGCTCAAAAACATATATGATGTATGTAACATGAATGATATAGTGAAACCTTTCGATAACTGCAAAATGACCTTCACATTTGAACCTTTAGCTTTGTTGAAACATATATGACACTTTAGACTACACACAAACATTCTGGCACTCATTCAAACACACAATCCTTAGTCAGTGGAGTCAGTGGAAGAAAAAGAGGGGGAGAGATCAGTCGGAGAGACCAGTTCAAATAGATTCTTTTTTAAGAATTATACTGCAGATTTTTTTCACTACTGCAATATACAGTCAGAGCCTACTGGGTGTTTCCCATTCTGGCCAGTTTCCACAGCTGAGGACTAATCCAATCAATGTTTCTGTACAAGTACACAGCATGATGTTTAGGTTAAATTGGATTTGGGTTCCTCCATGCAGGGTCTAACGAGTTGGTTAGAGCAACGTCACTACTGCGTTTTGGCAAGGACCTCAGTGCTTACCAGGTGAGGCTGGACGCCAGCAATGGACAATCATGTGCATAAAAGGAGGATAAATTCCTACCTGTTGTGCACGCTGCACAATTGGTCCAGTGGGGGAACCCAGCCACCCTGGTCCGCAGGCCCAAGCGTTCACGTCTGTGTCACCAATTATATTGTAGGATTTAATGTAATGTTTCTGACCAAGGCAGGTCCAACAACGAATCGCATCTGAACAATCACCAACAAATCCCACAATCTGATACGTGCTGATCCTTTTTATAAACACAGACAAAGGTCCTGATGTTACATAATATTCGGCTGTTATTCAGCTCTGTCCTAGTGGCCAAACATGGCGACACTGCAAACATGTAAGGGTGTGCCTGTTACTACTAGTTTCAGCTTCTTCCTGTTATCGCCTGTGCCTGTGCTTGATGTTTCCTGTTATTCTGAACTGGCCCTTACATATATAAATATAGATAATATAATGATATAAAGGTAAATAAATAAATAAAAACTCACAACATATGTTTTGTTGGTCAGGTCATTTTATTGAAATAAAAACCGTGGACAATGTAAGGAACAAGGGCCAGAATTTTCCTGAATTAAAAGGTAAAACATAGACTACATTCACTCACTGACTGACTGACTCACTCACTCACCCCAACATCTGTACGTAGACAAAAACCAGATGGAAGACCATAATAACCAACAGTTAACACGTTTAAGTAACTTGTAGCAGGGAACAACATGTGGTTCTTCTGGACAAAACACACCAATCATGGACAACTTTTTTTTAATATATATGTCTGATTTTGAGTATTTACAGACATAAATAATATTTCACCTGTTAGACATACTGAACACAGTATTGATCAGATCAAATACATGGTTTGAATGTGTGCTTTAGAACATTGAACTTTTACTAGTAAGAACCCATTTATAGCAATTAGAGTATGACTGACAGCACGATGTCTGTCTCGTGTAAACACAACATTTTCTAAGAGTAAAACCCTCAGTTCACATTATCACCTACTCTCACTCATAAATAAGTGTGTGATGGTGCTGCAAAACTGAGTGAAACAGTGGAAAACAAACACTATCTCACACACACAGAAACCTCAATGGTAAATACAGAAAACATCAGTGGTCAGTTTTGACGTTTGGATCTGCATTTAGATTTAAACAAATATTATTATTATTTTTACTTATCCTACCTCAGCAGCCGTAAGGAAATAAACTCATTTGTTCTTTTTAGAGTAATTCTTCTCAAAGATATAGTCGGTCAAATGTTACTAAAAAAAAAAAAAAAAAAACTCTTAAAAAACTAACAAGCAAAAAACAGTAGAAGTCGAGAAAGGGCATTGGAAAAATGAAGCTAAGGTTTCTTTTCTGAAACCGGAGTGCTCTAGTACCCTTTCACAAAAAAAAAAAAACTCCTATGAAAATCTTCCCCGTAGTCCTCATGTTCGACGTGCTCCTTCCAACCTTTAGTTGACTCTTCTTCAAGGATAAGACACCCTTCTACAGTCTCAATCTCACCCCTCAATTAAAAACTTGCTGCTTATGTGCAAAGTTTACACATTAACCCTATTAACCCCTTACTTTTTGACCCCAAATTTCCCTGAACTAACCCTCCTCCTCACTCCCTGAACAGATTTTTAGACTTGGCCTCGTCATAGTTCGTCATGAGCAGCAGCTTCATCTGCTTTAAGTTTGAATTCTGCCTCTGTGATTTTCCCGTCTCCATTTCTATCCTGGTTGGAGAACATGTTGTCGATGATGCGATAGGGGTCAAAGCCTGGTGCCAGGCGCCCTTTACCCTCATTCACCTGTCGCATGATGTAGTCGGTGAACTGTGAAAGCAAAGAGACGACACGTAGGATTAACTCCACAAGAACAGGTTTGACATAAGAAATGAATGATCAACTTTTATGCTGCTATCTCATACCTCGGAGGGTTCCACCTGATCATCCTTGTTCTTGTCCATCTCTGAGAACAGGTCAGGTGACACGTCTTCATTCCAGATGAACATGTAGCCTTCAGGAAGTCCTTCCTCTAAGTCAATTAGCTCAACGTCGAACACCAAAACGGCACTTCCTGGAACTTCATCAGCTGCACACAAGCAACAACACACAAACATGTAAACATCTCTTTTCTAATGTTGTGGTGCACAACACTAGACAGTGTCATGATTCTCTCCTAATATTCTGGTTAAACATGAAGGTCAGAAGGAACATGTGTTGGACTTACTGACTCCTCTCTCCCCGTAGCCTAGGTGAGGAGGAATAACAATGTGCCTTTTCTCTCCCACACACATGTCCAGAAGTCCGTCCTCCATCCCAGGAACCACCTGGTTAGCTCCCAGGACAATGTTGTACGTTTTTCCATAAGCATATCTGTGAGAAATAATGCCAACATGAATGGTTAGCTTATTGCCTCATAAAAGTGAAGCTTCAAGAATGTAAAACTACTGTGCGTTTGTGTGACAAAGAGTGGAAAAATACGGGGTGCTTTTGTGACGAATACTGTGTAGCGTAACATGTATCTTTCCTGTTGTTGAGTCTCCTTATGATATCATGACAGAGTAAGTATGTCTGAGTCACAGTAACCGTTGAGTTTCAGGACGGGGGGCACCAACAACTGCAACAGAGGTGGAGTCAGATATCAAGAAGAAGGACAAGGACATCCAATCAGAAGCCTTCGCTCACAACTCTGTCTGTTACGCTTAAGTATCTGGGTCTGGGAAAGATCAGCTCTGAGTTCTCCTCAGGCAGACCTAGGTGCCTGATTTGATGCTGTTCTTCATTGAAATAAATTCTCTGTTATATTCGAGCCGAATGGTGTCAGGGGAGATTCTCAGACTACTCACGTGGAGTCGATGGATGTGCCGTCCATCAGTGAGGCGTTGTAGTGATACTTCACAAAGTCTCCCTTCTTTGTTGCCTTACTGCACTCCTCTGGCTTATAATTGACGGTGACCTCCGTGCTGTCTGATGGGTTGTGGAAGTCAATGATGTGGACCTCAAACACCAGCACGGCAGAACCAGGGATCTTAGAGCCTTACAGAAAGTAGCATAGAAAGTACGAAGACGTTATATACAGTGTTACGTGAGTTTGTCTGCACAAACAAACAACAACAACATACCTGTGCCCTCCTCTCCATAGGCCAGATGCGGGGGAATTGTGATGGTACGTCTCTCCCCAACACACACTCCTATTAGACCCTCGTCCATACCAGCAATCACATACCCTCGGCCCACATAGGTGTCATAGGTACGATTGCGGGAGTAGCTGCAGAGAAGAATAGTTATTAAGAAACAATATTCGTTCTCCATTTACTCCATTTACAGAAAAGGCCTGGTTTGAAAATGCTTCTTTTTTTAAATGTTCACTACAATTTAAGAAATGTTCTGTGTCAGATTATAGTGATGTTATAGTTATCCAATTCCAGGAAAAGTCTACTTACAAAGACATGCATAATTGAACAGTTAACATGTTTAATTTAAAAAAGGTTTTGTTAGATTTTTATTTACAAGAAAAGGACAAAAAAGTATTTGTTTTCACTTGTCTCACTGTATTTATTATTTGGAATTAAATTTTCACAAAACAGTAATATATATATATATATTTAAATTACTCTAAAAATACATATTTTTATGCGCATATTTTGTTATTTTAAGTTTTACTGCTGTTTTGCAAACCTCGTTTTAGGTTCGTTTACCCTCTAAGGATTATCCGCATTACAAGACTGCCACCCTGAGGAAACTCGAGGAACAGCAGACAAAAGTCGGTAAAAGGAACTTGAAATGAATGGATTTTCCTTTTTAGTAGTTTAGTTCCTTTTTACTTTTGTGCTGCTCTTTTACCATTAATGAAAAAAATAGAGCATTTTATTATGTTCACCATCTAAACAATGCAAAGAATATTTTTTACACATTACACTAAGTCATTGTTGTTGTAGTTAGTCACATGGCAACATCAGTGGAAGTACGTACAGCTGAAACAAACATGATCACAAACCTGGAATCAAAGAAGGTTCCATCCAGGAGGCTTCCATTGTAGTGGTAACGCACAAAGTCTCCAGCAATGGTCTTCCTCGTGCAGGACTCAGGCACCACCTGATTGGTCACTGCGATTCCATCTTTGGGGTTGTGCAGGTCCAGCAGGACAACGTCAAACACCAGAGAGGCCTGTCCTGGGATGTCACTGCCTGAAATGATGGAGAAAAGGAGGAAACATGTTTTAATTTTTGTATGTTTCACATTTAGGAGAGTTCTAATCCTAATGATCCCTAGTTTTGATCTTCAATAATAAATAACATTTATCATCATTAAATTTTTTTTTTTTTTGGAGGATAATGTTGAATAAATGTCTGGTAAAGATAGATAGATAGATAGAAAGTTTGAGCAAAATCAAAAAGAAAGCTCTGGGTTATAGAGTAAAGGTCAAATAGCAGGTCATGGGCTGGGGCAAAGCTGTATGACCTTTAAATGATATGTCAAATATACAACAAGAATAAAGTAAAATCAACTATCACATTAAAAAGAAGTTGAAAAAATGTAGTCAAAAAGAAATACAATTCTCCAAATTCTATGTCCAAATGTTTGGGCTTCTTGGAAGAAACATTTCAATTATATAATTTTTAAGGATTCCAGGCGTCACATTCCAGGAAATGTGATGTCAGATAAACAAGTAACAATGACTGCTGTTACACTCACCATCTCCATTCTCTCCATAACCCAGAGATGGAGGCATCGTGATGATGCGTTTCTCTCCAACGCACATTCCCAGAAGCCCCTGGTCCATACCAGCGATCAGCCAGCCAATGCCAACGTAGGTGTCGTACGTTCGCATGCGTGTGTGACTGCAGGTAAGGATGGATGGAGGAGACGGGTAAGTAAGATGTGTGTGACGGTGGAGTCTTTGTCATGTTAGACTCATGAGGAACAAACCTGGAGTCAAAGAGCGTCCCATCTAGCAGCGTCCCGTTGTAGTGGTAGCGTACGTAGTCTGACACCTCCACTTTTCTGGAGCAAATGGACGGCGTGTGGTAAGTGTTGATCTGCACGCCGTCCTCTGGGCTCCACACGTCCAGCAGCAGGACGTCAAAATGAAGGATGGAGTCAGGAGGGATGATGTCAGCTAGACAGAAAAGAGACGAGATGAAGAGTTTAGTTCCGACGGTCATTCATCACTGTACCACTGGGGGGAGGACACACAACTACAACCACCTAGACCACATCCCAACACATGCAGCCAACTGTTGCTGGAATTTGCACCTTGTACTTGAACATTATGTCTATCTAAGACTTTGGGACTCAAAACATGTTGTTATGACATAAAGGATTTCAATAATTCTCTACTTTGTGTGGTCAACACTGCCCCTTGCAGTTCAGACTTCTTTATTTAACACAGTGCACTCTATTACCTACATTATATTAGGTCTCACAGATGCCATGTAAAATTGTCTTTTTCTTTTGTCACACATGGACCCTGGTGTGTGGTCTCCACCTACTCCACGTTGGCTGTGCAGCTTGGAGTCTGTCGGTGGAACCATGTTTGATCCCATTGAGGTGATGAGCTCCTGGTTGGTGATTTAGTCTTATATATCGCTTTCATCTTCCCTCTGGTAGAGCGCATAATGTGGAAGAGGACACAGCAGTCTTTTACATGTCCACACACGCCCCAATCTCTTCACTCTCTCCTATTATCAAAGTACTTTCCTCCCCCTCTATCTCACACAAAAACACACCGGCTCAGCCGTCTCGGCAGCTCACTGATCAACTTCCAGGTGTGTGATGTCACCATGACATCCTTCAGTCAAATGTAAGGGAGCACTTCCTCTCCACCTCAGCTGACACTGAAGATTAAAACTGCTCTTTCAGACAAGGAGTGAAGAGGTCATTAATTGAATCCGACTCCTGATGTTGAGCCAGTCGGTGCCGGCAGGTTTAACTCACACAAACACCGAGACATACACACCATATCCTCTCTTTCCATAGGCCAGCTGAGGAGGGATCTTGACCAGTCTCCTCTCGTTGACGCACATCCCCACCAGACCTTTGTCCATGCCCTCGATCAGCTGCTTCTTGCCAACAAACACGTTGTAGGTGCTGCTGCGGTCGTAACTGAAAAACCCACACAGATGGAGGTTAGACAGATGAGTGGCACACAGGCTACTGCATAATCAATGTTTTCATCCATCGATAAGTTTGGATGAATAGAACAGTATTGTCATCCAGATCTACATATAAGGGATGAAGTTTGGATGTAATGGCCATCAGTGCAACAGGATCAGAGGGATGTGAATAAATTAAACAGGAAAATGTGATGATTAGAAGTATTTTTTAAACCAGCAAAGGTAAATAAGCAATATTATATATTGAATTTATTTCATTCAGGTCAAGGCTCCAAAACGCTTAAGAGTACATTATTAGTATTATGTGAAGTATCATTTAACCACATATCTCTATTAGACGTATATTAAACCCGTGTATTGTGTAAAATGTGTGTATTTAATTTAGAGTATTTCAATTTTATGAGTATTATGTTTCTTGGGCCGTTGGAAATTGCCCAGTTGGCAGTTGAGTCTTCCAGGTACATCACTGATGGCTACAACGAGTGAATCTGGAAAAGGAGTAGTTCCAGTTTTTACTTTTAAGACTTTGATTCAAACCGTGTGACTGAAAATCGGCCTGGTCAGTTACGTTTTTGTGAAAAATCTTTCATCAATGTGGACAAAAGAAGTTGGTTCTAATCATATGTGGATCCAAGTCTTAGGTCGGTTCCACTTGCCTGCGTGGCTCTCGGGGTTGAACCACTTCACGCGCACTTTTACGCATCGTGCACGCTGTTTGCGCCGTGCATCTGGTCTGTTCTTCAAACATACACACACACGTTCTGCACAGACTACAGCGCCAGTTTTGCAGAACATTCCCTCACCTGGAGTCGAACTTCTTTCCGTCGGGAAACATGCCGTTGTAGTGATACCTGACATAGTCGCCCACTTTGACTGCGCGCAGGCATTGCTCTGGCACGAAGGTTTTCTCAATAATGATGTCGTCTAACGGGACCGGAGGAGCGTCACAGGCGGCAAACGCCACCAAAACCGAGAGGAACAACATGGTGTGCAAACACTGGAACATCTTCATGTGCCAAGATGAAGCTATCGATGGAGATAAGTGATCGTGTGTCCTCCCTACTCCACCGTGCTGCAGCTTCCTTCACGCAAACTTGGACACTAGTCCTGCCCTCACATACAACACAGGAAGAAGCAGCTGTTAAGTCAGACTACGTTAGCTACTACATCCGGTTACGGCTCTGGAACTGAGGCAGATGCCCTAAAATAAAACGTAACTAACAAATAAAATATCCTGACACATGGTAACGTCATTATTTTTTGTTACTGACTTTAAGACGAGCTTTTTGAATATACATAAAACGTTACCGTAAATATTTCTGTCGGAGTTTGTACCTCATTTTTGTTTTGTTTGTGGTGGAATGAAATGTTTTAACTAAAATATAAAATGTTTATATAAAAATGTCAGCAATGACAGTTAACAGTGAAATGTAAAGTTAGAATGGACGATGGATTTAAAGCTAATTTAGGTACAGAAAACATGGTGAAAAGACAGTGGGAAACAACAAGGCGATTGTTTGGAAAGCTGAGAAATAGCAAATAAAAATATAAAAAAACCCAAACAACAAAAACAGTAACCCACATCGAGTTTCTTTCTTATTTCATACTGTTGTGACGCAAAGCGGCTATACGTGTTCTTTTATTTTGAAGTACTTCCACCTCGTGCCAATTTCTCCAGCGCTGACTTGACCCACTCTGGGATTGAATGGGGAAAGTTTGGCACCACGTAGCGGTCTTGCGCAGTGCTGCCCCTCAGATGTGTCAACGTGGTAACGTAGGGGTCTCTTCCTTCCACTCAATAGCACACACACACACACATATACACGCACGCACACACTAAAGTCACTAAAGTTAAAACTAACGCAAACACGCCTAATGACTACAGATTTTTACTATTAGTCCAATATATAAAGTTTGCTGAATCTATGATTCTGATCATAAAAAGTTTTCATTGGTTGATGTTAGCCTCCGTAGAGGAGGAGGAGGGTGGACGGAGGAGGCAGGAATGTTTCTACGTGGCAGTGGGAGGAGGAGGAACAATCCACCCTCAGCAGGGGATCAATTATGGAGTGAGAGCTGGCAGCTTTAAACTTTAAAAGGTGTGTGGTCTTTGTACAATTATTTCATGTTTTTCCTGAAATCACACAAAAATGGCAACCTTGAGTTGGACGCTTCTTAAACGTTAGTGACGCCGTCCAGCTGGGGTGCTGTTTTACGTAATAAACTGCTAATGTAAAGGTTTAAATATGAGACGAGAGCGAGAGCAGTGATTTAGGTGACTTCTGTAGATGGAGGTGGAGCTCGTCCAATCCCCACCCGTGTGTCTGATCCTTCCTGCGCCCTCAGGAGGAAAGCCTTTGTCCGGATACGTGGTGGAACTCGAGGCGGTCCCTGGGACCCACACATACGGATCTGGGATCATCCCACTCTGAGACCTGTCTACTTTTGGAGAGAGAGAGAGAGAGAGAGAAAATGGCAGCCTCCACATCTACACAACTCATCCGTGCGCTTTTGGTCGCGTTTTTCATCTCCGTGGTGAACGCTCAGTACGAAAAGTACAGTTTCAGGAGTTTCCCCAGACACGAACTAATGCCTCTGGAGTCCGCGTACAAGTACGCGCTAGACCAGTACACGGGAGAGAAGTGGAAAGAGACGGTGGAGTACATCGAGGTGTCCCTGCGGCTGTATCGGCTGCTGCGGGACAGCGAGGCCTTTTGCAACCTCAACTGCAGCTCCGTGCGTCTGGACGACGAGCTCAAGTTCGAAGAGTTCCCAGAGCTGCGTGCGTTTGGGAACGTGATGAAGAGAGCGCAGTGCCTGAAGCGCTGTAAACAGGGGCTGCCTGCCTTCAGACAGACCATGCCCAGCCGGGACACCATCGACGAGTTCGACAGGAGAGAGCCGTACAGATATCTACAGTACGCATACTTTAAGGTAAAAACACACGTTCAAGTATTTTGCGTCCTTCTCCAAAGTGATTGTCCACAGTCGATGTCTTCTGTCAATCACATGTTAACGTCATCATCATCATCGTCATTAACATCATCGTCATCATTCCAGTTGTTTCTGCATGAGAACTATTACAGAAACAAAAACATTAATGACTGTGAATTATTTGTCATAGCACAGCACACAACAAAACGTGTGCTTTGAACACATATAACAGTGATACTTGAAAAAAAAAACTTAAAACAAGCATTAAAACATAGAAATGTGAAACAAATTGCATACATTTTTGCAATACTCCAGGCTGCCAGCAGGGGTCAGCATACCCATAGCATAGTAAGGTTGGGCTTATATATAAACATAACTTAATTATTCATTACAACATCCTTCAAGAAAAGAATAATTAAAGGGTAAATAACTAAAGAACTAATTTTGGGCTAACAGAAATTCACGTCAAGTTGACTTCGCTCCAATCTGATAACGGATCAATATTCTGTTTCTGATTGGTATATATCAGGGCTAACTGAGTCTTATATCTTGTCGTAGTCCAACAACTTGGCCAAGGCCGTGTCTGCTGCCCACACCTTCATGCTGAAACACCCAGATGACGAGATGATGCAGAGGAACATGGCCTACTACAAGAGCCTGCCTGGTTCTGAAGAACACCTTCAGGACCTGGAGACAAAATCCTACGAGGTATTCCGCTCAGACTGTTCACTGTAAGTAGTGTACTATGTGAAGACTGGGTGTGTGCGAGACTTACACCCATGACCACATCACGCCTTCATGTTCCCACATGCACACAGACCACCCTAAAAATGGCTGTGTGGGCGTTGACGTGGTCGCTGCCTGAGGTGGGGAGGCAGTACTGGCCGTTATAAAAGCATATTATTGATGTTTTTATGGCTCTGAGGAAATTATATTTATTCACATTAAGTAAATACATACTGCAAGTGTACTTTGAATGTTTCTGTTGGACAGTAAGTGAGGAAACATGGGGAGAGAGGACGCTAGAGAGATCAAATGTCAACTGCTGGAAATTAACTAGGAATAGCGCCCCCATATGATTTAGGTCTATAATTTAAATCCTTAGATAATATATAAAAATAGAGTCAGACTGCAGTGTAATATTTCAATCTCTAGGCTGCAGCCTTTTCTTACTAAACAGGACAATAATTCATAGCTGGTGATTGTTCAATTTGTTTGTGACAACTGAAAAACATTGCAAAGAAGCATAACACGACATAATGTAACATATAACAACATGACATCTCTTACGTTATCCATTTGGATGGTCACTAAGAATCCCATCGTTGCTCTTCACCCATAGACCCTGTTCATCCGTGCAGTAAGAGCGTACAATGGAGAAAACTTCCGTACCTCAGTGTCAGACATGGAGCTCGCTCTCAGGGACTTCTTCAAGGTCTACGATGAGTGTCTTGCTGCGTGTGAAGGACCACGGGACATCAAAGACTTTAAAGATTTCTATCCGTCCATAGCTGGTGAGTACCAACATCTCTGTGTCGTATGGAAATCCTCCCCACTGTTTGTGGGTGAAAATCACCTGCAGTGTGTTTCACTTGTTCAGATCACTACATCGAAGTCCTGGAGAGGAAGGTGAGGTGTGAGAGTGACCTGACGCCTGTGGTCGGAGGATTCGTGGTGGAGAAGTTTGTGGCCACCATGTACCACTACCTGCAGTTTGCTTATTATAAATGTAACTCCGTCACTACACCTTCAGTCAGAGCATTGGTCATTTGTTTCTGTAGTTTGATTTTAACAGTAAACTAATTCTGTTTCTGTGTTTGCAGTAAATGACCTGAAGAATGCAGTACCGTGTGCAGCCAGCTACATCCTCTTTGACCCCAAGGATGAGGTTATGAAGAACAATGTGGCATATTACAAGTTTCACAAATCCCAGTGGGATCTGACAGAGGAGGACTTCCTGCCCAGATCAGTGAGACATGCTCCTTTATGCAGTTGAAGAACATTTATATTTAAAACTTTAATTTTATTAACTTTAACTGCCTTATTAACAATAGTATAATAAGGCAGATAAGGCTTTCTGCCTTATTATACTATTGTCAATGCAAATGCCCAAAGCGTTTAATAGTAAAACAAACCAAACATTTTATTCATACCTTTTCTACAAGTCATTAAAAACCTGTGGATAGTGGAGATAAATTTACTGTATTTTCTAAATTTAATTGCTATAAAATTCAAGACAATATGTATTATTATCAAACGTGACTTTTTAAATAACCCAATAATTGATGTTTTCACATTTCAGATTCTACTGAGAATAACTTTAATAATGAAACATGAATTTTAAATCACTAATCTTAATTCAGATTTAAATGATTTTTTCTATTTGTGGACTATTTAACATTTAACAGACAATTTAACAGTCAAATCCATCCACTTTTTGTGAGTTATTTCCAGTCTAAATCCTAGAAGCTACGGGTGATAAATTATGTACATAATACATAATTATGTATTAAGTACATAAAATTTTAAAATCAAATCTCAGAAACAGTATAGACACAAGATTTGTAAGGCTTGAATCTGGGTTTAACAGATGAAGGATCCGTCCTGTCGTCTCTGTTGAAAATCATATTCTTTGTCTGTGTGTCTGCTGCAGGAGGCAGTGAGATACTACAACCAGACGACCATGCAGCAAGAGATGCTGGAGTTTGCCAGACAGCGTCTGATAAGTGACGATGAGGTGATGTCCCTGCGTTCATGCATCACATGCAGCCATAAGTAGTTGTACCGTTAAAAGAAGACACACACAATCCCAGGGTTCTTTGCAGTCGTCTCAGGCCTTGGGACGACTTGGGTAACTTATGGAAAAACCTAGATCCCTCAGCCTGGTCACATGATGCCCTGCAGTAGGACAATGTGTGTCCTGTCTTCAACCCAGCTGTAATGTCACTGCGGGGCCACAGAGTGGCAGCAGCAGACTGCTTTTCTTTTGAGTTACTCTGTTGCATCGTGTGGACTGTGGCCGTCAGAGCAAACGAGCTTCTTTATAATAGGAAAAGCCTCTGACTCCGATTGTAAATAAGTATTTAGTGAGTACAAATATGATGATTTCATCAAGTATAATGATTAAAAAAATGTCCAACAATAACTCACCATTAGCCACTAGGTCTCTCTACCTTATTTTGTTTCTTCTGTATCTGCTTAAATCCCTAACTTTATTTTACTTATTTTATTTTTTTTCTTATTTACTTTCCTTCTTCCTGTGTGTGTTTCTGCAGGGGGAAGTGGTGGAGTTTATAGACGATCTCCTGGATGAACAGCCAAAACCCCCACTGGGGTCTGTGGTGAAACACTGAAGAACAGATGGACTGACCAGCATTAGTTTATATTTATTACTGTCATGGAAACATGTTTAGGTGGGTTACTGTGTGGAATAAACGGACATTTTCAGAGGATTGAAACTTTCAGCACAGTGGCCTAATGGCTAAAAGACAGTGGTACTGATCAACTCAGACTTTCTTTTTTTATTGTTTTATGGATTTCATCCACTAATGTGACTCAAAGTGAGCTGTCTTTCTTAATAAAACAACGATCCAAACACAAATTATGATCCATTCATGCAGTTATTGATGTGGTTTGTAACTGAACCTTAAGGATAAATCTGGTAACTTTCAAATAAAAGCTGAGTAGATGTGGAGAAGATGTGTGTAGTAGACATCTCGGCAAAAAAATGTACCGTGACCTAAGAGTAAAAAAAAACTTGGAACGTATGTCTGTTCACCTGTCCCTGAGTAATTGTTCATATTATTAATATCAATTTTAACACTGTGTTATGAATTGTAATGTGTGCTTGTGGTAAACAACATACATTACGTTACAGTTGTAACACAGCCCAAACTGAAGTTATATCGCTTGAAAATTAGATTCACTCTTTTAAGCACACTAGCAATTTTACCTTGCATGATAAAACCAGCAGCACACCTGTGCTGAGAGGTAAGCTTGCTGTTTTAATTAATGGACTCTACTGGAGTCGAGCATTATAACTTCGTTTTCATGTCGGAAAAGTCCGTCTGACGGCAAGCTAAACCGGCTCGCATGTTCTTACGCGTACATATAGCGTACCTCTCTTTGAAGAGGGCTAAAATACGCTGACTAACGTTATGTAACTCATACAATCCTGCTTAAAAAATCACCAAACAAATGTATTAATATGGGAGGGAACAATGTAACGATAACAATGACTTTACAGCCTCATTGGCAAAACAAAGCTACTAAGCTAATAAACGATAGCTTTCATTCAGAACTTACCGTTCTTTGTGCAGCTTCAAATGTCGGACGAAGTTGGAGGTTGTGGCGTCTCCGTCTGAAATGTTCGACCCGCATGTTTTGCATACTGCCACTCGTTTTTTGTTGATTACCTCGTAATTTTTTAATCCGAACAACACCACCTTTGGTATCATTTTCTGATCCGCGCGTTGTTTGACAGCTCTTCCTCATTGGTTATCCCGCAATTTGATTGACTCCATGCTATCTCGTCAAAACAACGTGGGTCTAATTTGATTGGATGTTGTGCCGACAGCACATACACACTCAGACACACACGTACACAATGAGAGATACAGAGCGCTCCTTAATAACTTATTTTATAATCTTTGGGTTTTGAAGAAAGTATCAAGTCTTGTCGAGTCAAAGGGTTCAAGTCCAAGTGAAGTCACAAGTCATTGATGTTAACCCTCACACTCTCACAGCACAAGAAGAAAGTCGGCCTCACACCCAGATGCCCTCAGGTTGATTTGTACTGAATGACCACAACAGTCCCAGAAGAGGACAGATGTCTCTCACAGAACACTAAGAAGGCCGCAAAACATCACAGAAAGTTTTTTTTTTTTTTTTTCATTTTAGCTTGAGAAAGGAGTGCACAGCAGGGCGTCTGCAGATGAAAAGTAAAAAAGAAACAGGTCTATATTGAGCAGAGATGCAGCCAGAGAACAGTGAGTTATTTAATAATGTTTGAACATTGAGCCTCAGTGCAGTTTGTCACACAGTGGTGTTAAAAACCCACAGGGGAACATGGCCTCTGTATCACTGACTGTGTGTGTGTCTAACACCCGTCTCCACCTCTGCATTGTTTTTTGTTATCCTGGATCCTCTCCTTTTTTTTATCGCCTGTCTTTTCTTCAATACCTACTGTTTCCGTCTTACTCTCTTTTCCATTTGAAGCCAATTTTTGGGAACAGGTTAAAAAGGCTGGAGATAACTGTGGTCTAAAGAAGGTGGGAAAGGTCAGGTATGGGGGTAAAAGGTCATGGTCATAGGTCGGGCTAACACAATAAATGCCCAACAATGATTCCTTTCAGCGAAATGTAAGACTTTGAGTAAAAGTCCATGTTTGACAGAAATATATATATGTATACATATAGGCAGATAAATATGTAATAAAAATATAAACATAAAATCAATTCTCCTGCAGTACAATGACAATAACCACCACAGTGTCATGTGTTTATGTTTATTTCAAGAACACTTTGTTCATACACAGTACACACGTTTGTCAGACATTACTCTGAATAAGCTGCTTAAAATAAAAACAAACTGCTTTTTTACTACACAAAACGGACGTGATTATAAATGTCAGAACGGAAGTCAAACTGTTTTAAAAGCGTAACACCATCTGGTGACGTCAGATCATGCAGTAAATCTACCCACCTGCTTCAGTCTCTTCTACAACACGGTTTTCATCGCAGTGTGACCCCAGCAGCTGATTGTTGTCACTACAGTACTTGTACTTTAACAGCAGTGTAACAGGCAGACGCTGAGATTTATAGTGGTGGAAATGAGACACGTCTCTGTAAAACACAAGGAGGGACACTGCTGGTCCTGGTGAGACGTTCTTCGAGCCACCGCTTTATGTACAGCACGGTATGGTTATAAAATCATATTTACACAAAAACAAACATCACACTGTAGACTCTGCTCTCTCCGCCCTCAACCAGGACAGTGACATATAAGAGACCACGACATGAAAATGAAGCCAAAAAAAAATCAATCTGGAGAATGAACCACCATCTTCAAAATAGTCACATCAAAAATATTCAAACAAAAGTAGAATTTCTAGCATATTACATCATTGTAACACGTTTTATATTGAGTCAATGAAACTATTATGGGTGGTAGAATATCAGCAACATGCCAATGTGTCCCTGGGCAGGACATCTGACCCAGGACTTTGCCTTGTACCGAGTACCATAAGAATAAATCATTTAAATACACTCAAAAACATAGACGATTAATTCCTCCATATGACAGTGGCACACTGTTACATTTGTTTGTTTGTTTTTTAGCTAAAGATTAAGTATTTAGTAAAGAACACTGGACTACAAATGAGCCACAACAACAGAACCATAAAAAACCAAAATAATCAATTCACTCACAGCACAATTTCCATACCTATGCTTCGTACCTTAAAACAGAAATCTATCTATATTTAAATGAATATTTTTTTATTTTTTGTGAACTAATAGTTATATAGTATGTAGTATAACACTTGACATCCTGTTAAAACTGCATCAGAATGATGACATGGCTGCAAAGGTCGACCAGAAACATCCTGTTGCTCTCTTCTTCTAATACTGTTGTTTTTGTCACACAAATATTCAGTGCATTCAAATATGGCCGTGAAGTTACTGTGAATGGGTGAAATGACTTATTATAGCAGTTGCCGTGGAACTTCCACTCTACTCCAGCAGCTTCATTTAACAAAGTCAGTTAGCAACAGGATATCTGAGTCCGTTTCTTATATACAGTCTCTGCTGTCGATGATTTCTGGGAATAACGTGCCTTGTTTCACTCAGACATTTGTACCAGAAATCACACTTATATTTGTAATCTCTCTGTATAAAATGAATGCTAAACATTTTCGTGGTCTAACACAATTTATTTGGCCCCTGCAACGGTGTGAAAGTGTGTCCATGTGTGCCACATGGCAGCGTATTACTTCACTGCACCACTAGGGGAGCGAAACATGTTACGTCTGCTGCTGTGTGAGCACGATAATGTTTGATATTTGCTCTCATTGTCGTCAGCATCAACGATGCGCCGTCATAGCAGTGGTTGGCGTAAAAAGTGGCAGCACACATATATCACATTCTTTCTATATTACACACGTAAGCGCGCACACACACACACACACGCAGTCTTTGACAGCTGCTCTAGAGTTCTCACCAGATGACCGTCAAAACCAACACGGGCCGAACAATTCTCTTCCCTTCAAACTTCCCACTCACACTATTTCCAGGCTTTATTTTCATTTTTCATTTTTCTTTGATTACATGTGGGCCATTTGTAATCAATAAATCAAGAACAGCACATATTGATAATAAGCAAATCCCTCAATAAAGTCAACAGAAACAATAGAAATGTCAAAGAACGATTCATTACCACAACTTTAAGACAAACAGTCTCAGTCACACAGAACTTCCTGGGTTTTTCTAACATGCTCAATGTTTTACATTCTTTTTTTCTTTCCAGCACCTGAAGCTGAGTCCAGTCTAGACACAGGCTGTAGACGAGTCCAGCCACAGGCCACAGCGCTGGATATTTTTAGTATGACAAAGTCGGGTGAAATTCCTTTGAAATGATACGCAGCAGAACGTGGGTCCTTCGTTACAAAACCACATCAGTCTTTACTGTGATCAGTGTGTTAATGCTCTGCCTATTCTCTGTTCTTTGTCCAAAACCTTTAGTTGCACTGATGTCTGGTGAGATGAAGGGCTGGACTTCTCTCTCACTTGTCCCTGTCCTCCTGAATGTCCCTCTCTCTTACACCTTTTGCTGCATCTCTATCTGTTGGCCCTGTCTGGTCCGACTTTGTCCTTTCCCGTTCATCTCGTACACCGAGCTCTTCTGCTGCAGCCGTCTGTAACACCACACTCCCACCATGACGGCCGCCGCTAACAAGCAGACCGCCACGATTACGGCTGTCACCGTGGAGCCTTTCATGGAGGAGCTGGGAGGGTGAGGAGGGCAGTCCTCACCCACACAGACGGTTTCCCCCAGCTCCCCTTCCGTCTCCCCTCTCTCCCCAGCCTCGCCCGGCAGGTTGTTGTCCTCCATCACGCTGACGAGGATGTCGTTTTCATGCAACGATGGAGCAGGACCCTGGTCGAGCGAGGGGTCCTCTGTGAGGTCTTCAGGCCAGGAAGGAGTGGGTCCTGGCTGCTGGGTGTCGTAGTCAAGGGTGTCTGAGTACGATGGGTCCAAGGAGTCCAAATGACCAGGGTGAGGGGTAGAAGTGGAGATCCATACCGGCCAAACGTCCACCACCTTCTCATACTCCTGGGTGGGAGACTGGTGCTCCTCTGGTGAGCTGGTACCAGGAACTAGTCCAGTTTCAACCTCATTGGGTCTGTCTGTAGTTCTGACCCGGGTCCCACTCTCCCTCTGATCCAGTTTCTCACTTGTGGTCGTGGACTCTCCTTTTTCTGCTCCTGCTGGAACAACAGGGTAGCCATCCAGCCAGGTGTCATCTGTGGTTGTTTCTCCTTCCTCCTTCTTGGTCAGGTTCTGCTGCTCGTCTGTTGCCACAGAAAAAAACACCTGCTGATGGCTATCATCTTCATGGCTGTCGTGTCGGTCGTGGCTGTCATGAGCATCGTGGTCGTGACCATCGTGATCAGAATGGCTGTTGTTGTCGTGGTCTTCCTGGGAGTCGTAATGCTCCTCAACATCGCCGTGGTTGTCATGGTTGTCGTGGTCGTGATGTTCTCTCGAGTCTTCAGGATGGACTTGAATAGTGACCTCAGGATCACTGGTAACGTCCTCGTGGTCCTCGTAGCTTTCATGATGATCATAAGTATCTTCCCCATCATCATATCCTTGGGTCCCATGGCGAACCTGATCGTCTTCATGTTCACCCATGTCGTAATGCTCACTATGGTCGTAGTGGTCGTCATCATGTTTACTGTGTTGGTCCAGCAGATCCAGATCATCATGTTGCCTGGGAATATAATGTGTTACAACATCATCACGGTCGTCCTGATCCCCGTGTCTGCTGTCATCGTGGTCCACTGGGTCGCTGGTATCGAGGTTGTCGTAGGTTTCTTGCTCAGGATGATGGTCACCAGCATCGTGAGGACTCTGCTGCTGCTGGTCACTCTCTCTGCTCTCCTGGTCCTTGCTCTCCTCTGATACGCCGTCTGAAGCTCTCTGTGTCGTCTCAGTGACGGACCGACCCTCCTCCTGGAAGGCCTCGGAGGGAAACCAGAACATGTGTTTCTGTGAGAGAAGAGAGACGGGTGCTTCTGTGGTTCTGTGGCCACCTGTGTCCGTCCTCTCCACCTGCCTGCTCTCCTGCTCCTGCTCCCAGCTTGGATGTCCTACAAAGTCTTCCACCGCCCGTTCTTCATCTGTGTCTCTGTCTTCTTCAACCTTTGTTTGCTGGTCTTGATGGTCCAGGCGTCCGTAGCTCGTCTCTTGCTGCTGGTGACCTCTCTTCTCACCTCGATAGGCATCCCTGCTCTCCTCTTCAAACAATCCACCTTGAGCATCCTCCATTCTTGGATTGTCATGATGTTCTTCGTAGGAGTCTGTGAATTTGTCCTCGTAGTCAACATGACTTACAGTCTCATCTGAGGAAACACCAAACAAATAAATATCCTGGTTAGCTGAACTGACGTTCATCACGATCAACACAAACCAGTGCAGTGAGCACGGCCACTTATCTGTAAAGTTCACTTAAAATTTTTTAAATATATATTTTTAAATCCATTTTGCGATGATTTTAGGTTACATATCTTATTAGCTATATCTTTGGTTAAATCTTTTTTTTTTTAATTGTTAGTTAAGGGAACTTTCAAACTCACTGCCTGGAAGCACAGATATGAAGATGACGACTGTGTTGACTGACCACAGTCACAGGCCTGGTATTCTGCAGTGCATGAGTCTTTTAACTCAGACTCTCTGCTATGAACTAGGTAACACATTATGGTATGTCCCACTGAAGTGTCAAAGCAGCCATTTTCTTACCAACTCACAGTCAAGACACTGTTTCCCAACACTAGAAATCCAGCTAGAAAAGTTTAACCAACAGGGAGAAAAGAGAGGGAATCGACCTCAGTCAGGTCTCCCACATGGGTCCACACTGTCTCACATTTATAGTTTAACCGTGTGCTCTTTACCTTTGACACAAATCTGCACCAGCCCGTACCACTCTCCACAGCTGTCACACAGCAGGCTGAAGGCACTGTGTCCGCTCGGCATCACGTAACCTGGCGCACAGGTGTACAGCAGCTCATCGCCCATCTCAAAGCCAGAGTGACCCTGGAGACGGGCGTTGGGGAAAGACGGTGGGTCCCCACAGGGAACGCCTGTAAACACAGAGATACAGGCCGTGTAAAAAAAGCCACGATGCCTTCACTGTCTGGAATTCGACGTGGTATCATTTTGAACATTCAGCTTCACAGCACCGTTTGACAACAGGAAATGGAGGAAGAACAAATGAAGTGAGAAGAAGGAATGTGGCTTCGCAGAAAAACTGATGTGATTTTGAAATGAACCAAACCTCCAGAGAAAGATAAAGGCTCTTTGGTTTGTTTATTTTTTCACAGAGTGATGTTTTTTTTTAACAAATGACATTTTTAGAGTGCACAATGACTTATTATTTGAACTTTATTTCCATTAACCCAGTGCTCTTAACATCCTGTGCCAGAGATAACAACAAAACAAAACCAAAATAAAAAGGTCTGTGTTTTATGACGTTGTTTATACAGCGTTTACATTAATCACAGTTTAAAATAATACAACTAATTAATATTTTTATAATTCTAGGGGATGTGGAGGTATTACAGGAGACACAGTCAAATGATTGTCTTTTGTTTTGTAGGAATTACGTTGTTTGACTTTACTGGAGTTTTGGAGCCAGTGAATGGGGCAATAATTGTATCCCTAAAAGCCCTGGACCATTAGGTAACACATTCAAACAGGCATGGTTGGGGCAGACTGTGGCCTAGTGCTTAAAGGATCAGGCTCGTGGTCAGAGGAATTCCAGTTTGAATCCCTGCCCTGGCAGAGGTGTTGAGCAGGCACCAAAAATACAGTGTGTCCCAGATTTTGTTTTGTGTATGTGCAGTGAATCAAAGTTTTATTTTGTGGTATTTCTTTTTCTATAAAAAGGGAAGATGGGGCAAAATAAACTCAAGGCTGATCATAGCTGGTCAACACCAGACAACTTCATCTGTTACAGCCATTCAAAACCAATAACTGTTGAATGTATATACTAATATATTAATGTGATGTTTTACAGGCTGCTTGTGAAGTTCACGTTTGATACTGTCCATTATTGGAATTTCCAAACTGACCTGTGTCTTTGATGCAGAAGGCGTCCAGGTACGCCGTGTCCCCTGTGGCGTTCTCCGTTCTCACGTCCACAGCCTTGAGTGCTCCGCCCACAATATTGCAGACTGTGGTCCTAGAAGTGGATCGACGGCGTCATGGTTAACAACAACAGGTTTGATAAAACGCTAAAAAGAAATAATGCCGGAAAATAACAGACATTTTCAAGGCCTGAAGGTGGGAAGACTTCACTGATTCTAGCAATGAGCTTGGATATAAATAAAGAAGAAGCAGAATCCTCCAACCTGACTGGAGACCTGGAGTCCACTTTGTAGCATTGGATCAGTTCCAGTTCTGGCCATAAACCCATAGGGATTATAGCAGTAGACGTCGACTAAGTCATTCAAATTCCATTGATTAAACCATGACCTGTTTCATTGTGTGTTTTTAGAAAGTTTTTAGGTCCAACCATTAGAACACACATCAGTGATTATAAATGTGCTGTAGTGAAATTGTTCTGTTGAAGATCACATTGATGTGGTTCATGTACTTCATACGTACAGTACAATGGATGACACTGTGACATACACTGATTTACACTGCACTTCCTCTTAATCCGTCACCACCAGACTCGTTGCTTGGTCAAATATTGTTGCAGCGTGACTCCACGGTCCAGAAACAGACTTCACGACTAAAAAATGCTGCTTTATCAGCAGCCGTAGGCGGTGGCACAATATTATCACAGCATGACATTTTGGGGGAACGGACTTTCTCATACATGAGCCCAAAATTACAGCCGCCTTCAGAGAGAGCGGCACTGGGGATTTGATATTGGACACAGTCCAACAGGTTCCGACTCTAAAGAGAGTAATGAGTTTGGACTAATTATCAACTTGATTTTACCATCATTAGTCTGTTTATCATCCAACAGCTGGGGATAAGACTCCACAGACCAACCACTCCACGATCCCAGAGCAGCTAAACCTAAGGTTTCACTGATCTAAGACACGTTATTAAAATACTAAAGAAATGATTACTAAAAGAGTTATTACTAATCTGACACCCAGAATGATTGGGCCTCGGTTTCTTTCCAGAAAGTTAATGGAAAGAATTTGAGTGGCAGAGCAACCTGAGAGCCGCAGCTGAGAACAGCATGAGTCATGTTGGATGTTTGCATGATGCTAACATCAGCTTATAAGGACAAAAGTGGGGAAAAGTGAAGGCGGCCGAGAGAAATCTCAGAGAAAACACTCAGCTGCAGCCCAAAAATCACAAAAGACTCTTTTCACACCAAACTCTATCTGATCTGTGTGTATCTGTGTGTGTGGTGGGGGACAGAAATATCTAAAAGACCTGTTACACCATGGGGACCAAAGACACAGACCCCCATGAGTCATAGAGGACATGTGTAATTCATACAAATTAGATGGATTATATGTGAATTGTTTTTGTGTGTGCGTGGAGTATGTTGCAGTTCAGTTAGGATAAGAATTAAAATCAGACTGCAGGTTAGGAGTTAGGACAAGGCATCTATTATATCATTATTATATATTATGTTTTTCATGATTAGCCATGGGATACAGAGAGACAGACAGAGAGAGTGAGGGAGAGAGTGAGGGAGAGAGGGGGAGACCTCCTTCAGAGACTGTTCACTCATCACTTGAACTCCTTTCTCAGAAGTGTCACATCATGTGACATAACAACCGGAAAACCCCACAGACGTGTGTGTTTGTATGAGAGTGAGTGTTAATACAGTCTGTTGGTATTGTTGTGATTGGTTACCAGGAGAGCGACCCTGTGATTGACAGGTAGAATGAAGATGTTAGGGCACAAGAGTGGGTCTGGGAAGCACACGTTATTATGCAAGAGGCTTCAGAATTATGTCAAGGCACTTCTAGGTTCACTGATACTGATCATATATAGTGAAGAGTTAGCAGGGCTTTACGAACAGTAACAACAGAGCTCAGACGTGTGGGTGGAAGATGAAGTGCCCAGTTAAAGATGAAGTTAAAGTATTATAAAGTATTCTAGTATTTGTCAGTATTTGTTATGTGTAAAACTGCACTGATACTTGATGTGTCCCTCCGTCTGATTCTCCCTCCTTCTGCTCAGACATGTCTGTCATGTTGCTCTGGAGATGGCAGCTGTAGGTGGAGGCAGCAGCCGACATGACACCCTGGCTCTGAATTTTCTCGTCCTCCAGGAAAGAACAGAGGAGTCTTTCTGTCTCTCTTCCCCTCGCCTTTTTCTCTTTCCCCCTTGAAATGTGTCACTCTCATCTTCCATCTTCCCGCTCCCCCTTTAACAACTACTGCTCCTCTGTCTCTTTCATCCTGTCCTGCGACCTCAGTCATACACACAAGCACACACACACACACACACACACACACACACACACACACACACACACACACACACACACACACACACACACACACACACACACACACACACACACACACACACACACACACACACACACACACACACACACACACACACACACACACACACACACACACACACACACACACACACCACAAGTGACCTTTGACACCTGTAAATCAGTGGCGTCCCTCCATACAAATGAAGACAGACTCCTGTGTTCTCTGTCTGTTCTTACCCCACGGTGCCTCCGTAGAGCCAGCCCTGCGTGCACAGGGAGAAGAAGCACTCCAGCACCGCGTGACGGAGCTCGTCTGCCGATGCCAAGCGAGCGTGTTGAGAGGCACACGCATGTTCAGCATCTCTAAAACTCTGGAGGCCTGAGGAGTTTCTGGGCTCCAACACGAACACTCGACCTGAGGGAGACGACACGAGAGAGTTAGAGGGAAACATTTCAAAACCTGTTCCAACCAATGTCTGATCACCTGGAATTATACACCAAGATATTTCTTTCTTTTTAAAAATATTTTTCCATTACATTTTAACAAAATATAATTGAAAGCAACAATCTTATGAACATCTCTTCACACATTGATCCACAAACCCTGACTTAATCTTTTTGAAATCTACTACAAGGAATTTGCAACTGGGATTTTATTTTTGGTGTGAATATTTTATCAATACAGAGACAACATGTAGTACTGTATACAGCATGCGGCAGACAACAGGTTTGTTGTCAAGGAGCTGAACTATATTGGATGTCTGCAGGCAGCCGTGAAGAATGGTGTAGGTTCCTGCCAGGTTTAGGGCTGCATTTTTGCAAATGAAGTTGGGAAGGCGACATCAAAATGTATAATAAACAGTATAGTGTTTGTACTGATGACACACTAAAGGTAGGAGCAGGTTAGTAGTTACTAGTTGTTACCCCTAGGACAAATGGTTAACTAAGTTTGAACAAAACAATAATCTGTCAGTACTCTACGGTAACACTGCAAGAACAGCGTTTTTACCGTGATATTTGTCATTAGTGAAACCAAAGATTAATCGCGCACCCACAGCTTGTGCGTCAATTACGCACGGGAAGTTTGGGCAAAAAAAAAACGTTTTGAATTTGTGGATTTTAAGATTAGGTATTAATTCTAAAGGAGCAAAACTCTTTAAATGACATTGACGTTGATGAAGCACAGAGAAGAAGAACAGGTGGAGGTCATTCGCCAAGGGCGCAGTGACCATTACGCACAGCTGGAGACGCGTCACCAAACCTTCAGTTCCTGGCTTTATCGTAGCTTTTTACCGTATTTATCGATGACATCGGTAACTTACCGTCTGCGTTGACAACAAAGACGAACACAAGACAAGCCAGACATCCAAAGAGCACCGATGGAACGGTTTGATTCCTGCGTCCCAGCATCGTAAATCTCAGTTTGTTATTTTGGAAAACGAGTCCAAAATGTCTGACGGCGTCCACTCAGGTGGTCTCTCAGGTCAAAGTGACAGAGTGAGAATAAACTCCTGCTTCTGTCCGTCTGGGTGTTGGACAGAGGAGGAGGGGACGACGAGGGTGAGGGTTGGATGGTGACAAGTGCAGGAGTTAACGGAAAGATAACGGTCAGAGCGGCTCCGAGCGGCTCCACAAATAGCCGCCCTGGTCAGCAGCTGGAGCACCGGTGTGAAAACTCACGGGTTCCCGTCAGTAGATACGTCACGGCCTCCAATCCTAACGGAGGTGAAGACGGTCAAGAGACTGGAGTGCTGTGGTTCTCCTCCAGAACGACAAAGAGACAGAGGAGGAGGAGGAGAGTGTACAAGCTGCTGCCGGAGTGCTCTTACGCAAGGCATATGGAGGTCTCTCTCTCTCTCTCTCTCTCTCTCTCTCTCTCTCTCTCTCTCTCTCTCTGTTTCTCTCTCTCTACATTGTCATAATATTATTGTATTCCCTAACCTGACCTTGACTATTAGTAAAATATATTTAATCCTAATACAAACTCTAATCTGACCCTTGTTCAAAACCTTACTTCAAACTAAATCTTGGAATCAAACCAAGGTGACGTGGGAGTGGGAGGGTGGTGGGGTAGAGGGTCATCCTGACTCATGCACTGGGGGCTATTTTAGGAAGAGGAGGGGTATGTGGAGGGGTGGGGTCGTTCAGGAAAAGGAGAGGGCAGTGAGCGAGAGAGAGAGAGAGAGTGATTCACACCTGCAGCATCTCAGAGAGGCTGGTGAGAATTGCTTTTACCGCAGGTGTTGAGGAGAAGGAAGGGACATCACAAAGGTGTGTAATGTAACAGAAGACACCTATTAGGCAATCTGAGGAAGTAAACACCCCCCCCACACACACACACACACCCATCAGCCTCCAGACTGATGTGAGTATGTGTGAAAGCACTGACATCTTGTGTGAGACATGTCCTGTCAGACTAAGCTGTAGTGCAGGTGTGGGACTGACTCAGAGGACAGCGTTGGGCAGGGACAGAGGGAAGACCGTCTCTGTCTCCGTGGCAACAGCAGTCTAAACCAACAAGAAGGGTGGAATCCCTGCCTCAAAAAAAGAAAGAGTTTTGAGAGGAATCTGAGGCAGAGGCTGATGTTTACCATGATACACTGGCTGTTTGTGAACTGGTCAAGGAGAGGACAAGGTCAGAACCATGAATAGATGGATGGACGGATCAGCACCAGGTGGACGCTGACCACTGACCACCTGGAGAAAATCAGATCCTCTTAGGATTGCTTGAATTGATGTACGTATAATTATTGTGGTATTAAGTTGCTTTTTTTAAAACATTTTTACATATATTTAATTACTTTGACCCTCAGTTGAAAAAAAAAGTTTAGAAGACAGACAGACAGGAGCCCTCAGTGGTTAACACAGATGACTCTGACCTGGCCTCACCATCGTCACTGGGATCGTCAGGACACATTCAACAGTCAGCTGTCAGCCACAGCTGAGTCAGAGCACAGAGGGCACGAGGATGCTGAGACAAGAACTTCAATTAATTTGACTTTTGATGAGAGATTCTTTATTGATAGATTCTCAAGTGATGGAAGAACAGAGCAAATACAGACTTTAAAAGTTTTAACAAATGTCAGGTTCTGTGGATCCTCAGAAACCATTATATATAAAAGCATGACTATTTTTGCCTCTCTTTTTTTTACATTAAATGACTTTGAGTGATTTCACTCTGACAAAAACCATTACATAACAACCTGACCTTTCTGCCTTCGCCGCCGCTATTTTTCTGTTTGACAATAATAACACATATTTTCAAATATCCTTGATGTAATTCAGATATATGGCCGCAGGGCTACAAGAAAATCCTCTTACGCGCCTGGAAATCCTGGAGACTGAAGGAAAAAAATGTCATCATGGACCTCATGCACTAAAGCTGCATATTTCCATTGACAACTTTTATATTCTCACCCAGGGTTTGGATTAAAGTTCTGGAGCCCCACATGGAAAAAAGAGTAAGAGGATTGACTCTGAGACTCAGAGGGTAACAGCAGGAACAGCACAGGTGGATGCCGCTCCTTTCTTTCAGCTGGTTTCCTGTAGGCATGAGCTGGTTGACATGGCAACTGAGGTTTCCAGCCAGAAACGGAGAACAGTTCAAAAAGTTATAGTGAGTGCACAAGAAAGAATGTCACCCACGGAAAAGTTTCCTAAATGTATGACCCTACTTTAAAAGAAAAATTATTATCTAACAAAGATAGCATTATTTTAGATGAGAAGTGTGAAGCACAGGGATTTAAAAAAAGAATACAAATACAAAAAAATATATTTATCAGGTTAGTTTTAAACCTCTGGTGTTTTAATGACCATGAGAATGTTGTATTTGGGGCCTATTAGACCACAACATGTAACTCCACCACTAGATGTTGCAGTTTACTCTGAATTGTCCCTTTGAGGCTCATCACACTGATCCTAAAAACACAGAGATTTTTATTTTGAATTATAAAACATTCACTGTTCAATAGCTAGCTGTAATTGTGGCAACATATGTGTGGATATGTGTTACATATTGGTGGGTTCAGTATGATCTGTTTGGTTATAACTTTAGTCATTTTGTCACATTTTAGTCTTTATTAAATCTTTAAGCTATTAGCTATTGTGGCTAACATTTAGTTTTTTCTGAGCTAATGTAAATTTTTACTCATTTTGAATATAGTCATATATGTTAACAGTAAATAAGGAGAGTATTGAAGTTGTCAATTATATTATATTGTGTTATATTATTTTATCATATATTTTATCATATTATATTATTATATACCTCTCACCATAAGAAGTCACAGTTTTGTTTCAAAAGGATTTTTCCCTGTGTGGGCGACAAATCATAAAAGTAAAGATAGCGCGCTCTCTTCTGGTGAATTTGGAGAACTAGTGCAAAGATGTTTTTTATTCTTGAAATGTAACTTCAGCTCCCGTCTGTCTGCTGCCCCTCTGTCAATAAACCTACAGTGACTCAAATGGAGGTTTGTTTGTTAAAAAACAGGACCGTCAGCAGTTTTTCATATTGTCCGTGTCTTAAACTTAAAACATATACTTTCTACCGACTGGTTGGTTATAGAGGTTATGGATAAACAAATAATTAGTGTTGTTATAGCTGTTTGTTGACAAATGTGTGACACTGATGGACGTAACGGTTACAACGTCTGTCAAAGGCAGGGTGACAGTGGCCTGAGTCCAACTCGTTTTGGGTGTGTGTCTGCAGACTGAAGCCTGACTTGGTGTCAGTGATGAAGATCTCTAAGGATATATAAATATAATATATATTATAATATTATATTATAATTAAA